TTGAGATATTAGCAAATTTATGATGCACGAATTTTTATTTAAGTTTGTGTAAAGGATTTATGGAAAGAGTTTTTTTTTATTACTATACTTTTACTACAATTTTATAAAACTTTTTTTTTTTAAAAAAAAAATTGTATAAAAATATAGTAACATTATAGCAAAATAGTAGTAAAGTAGTAGCAAGTAGTAGTAAGCATATTGTTACTCTAAAGTAAATGTAAAATTATAGTGACTATAAAGTAACTATATAATTACTTTATAGTTATTTTATAGCTATTTTAAAGTAGTTCTAAAGTTGCTAAATTGGCAGTTTTAGCAAAGTTGTTTTTTTTCTTATTGAACTTGCATTTTTTTCTTTTCTTTTATTTTTCTTCTTGTTTCTTGTTGGTTTGTTGTGATAGTCTTGATGAATTTTTTGAATTGATATATTGTAGACTTTAAGACTATTTTGTTGTGCTGTCTTTGTCAACTTTTTCTTTGTTCTTGAAGTTTTCTGCTTTAATCTACTTCTAGTTTTGACTTTAATTCAGCATGTTGTTTTTCTTTTTCTTTTAATAGTTTTCTAATTCCATTAGCTATTTTAGTTCTACTATATAATCAATAATTTCTTCTATTATAATATAATTAACTAGGTTAGTGCTCTTACAGACTGGACTCGAACCAGACTTTAGTTAAGTTTGAGTCTAGTCTGATTTTCAGACCAGACTCAGACTTTTATATTCAAACTTTTTAGTCAAGTTTGAGTCTGGTCTGGGTCTGGTCCAAAGTCTGCAAACTAGTCTGAGTTCGAATACTCGGGTCATAGCTATTGTTACTCAGATAGCCTGTATAACTTCAGTTTTCGATAATTATTAGATGTTTTATATTCATCTTTTTCAACAATTTCATTTTGATTCAATTTGGCAAGATCATGTATCTTATTCATCTTTGCAAGCGTAGATACTTTATATTTATCCTTTATAGTACCATTATGCTCAATATCATTTTTTACGGCCATCATTTGATCGATATCAGCCTTCGACTTATCTAACTAATGGTTGTTTATTCCAAAGACCTTTTTCTCTTCAATATCAGGTATGTTATAGTATCTTTCATTAAATTCACATTTGGAGTCTTCATTATCACTAAAATATGCATTATATCATAGACCACACCATATTTATATTCAATTTTGTCATCTTTTATTTTATTCTTTTCGATTCTAATTCCCTAATAATGATAACCAGCATTAAGTATTCCTTCAGTAAGTCTCATTCTGGGGTTTCTTTGATAGTTAATAAATGTGTTATATTCATCCTTTTCTACTCCAATTCTATCACAATAATAACTAATGTTATATATTTCATCAGTACTATCCAAATTTCCAGGCTTTAATAAGAAGTTACTTTATAATCATTTCTTTCAGTTCTAATTCTATGTTGAAGACAATATCTGGAAGTATAAGTTCCATTATTATCAACTTTGATTTCATCTTTATTGCTATACCTGAGATCGAAAACTTTATAACTAACACCATCATTATCCATATCAGTACCTTCCTGGTAATAATTAGATGTCTGATGTTTATTCTTTTTATCTCCAATTCTATTTTCATAGCAGAGTCTAGGGCTACTTTGTCTATCGGAATGTTCATATTCAACAATTTTCTCACAATATTCAAATGCCTTATAATCTTTCTTTTCAGCTTCATTTTCAGTTTGATTATAGTGACCAACCGATTTTTGAGACAAGATAAAATCGTCACCAAAAAAGTTTCAAAAATTATGTGATATTGTCAATTAGTCATGATTAGAATCATGATATTAATATTTTTGATTCTTCAAAATAAAAAGCAATTATTGCAACCTCAACAAACCAAGTGATTCTTTTAAAGGTATAAAATTCAATAAGCATAATATTTGAAAAATATATACTGATTGCTGTAATCAAATTCCCACTAATAGTAAACGAAAAAAAAGAATAAAATCGAAATAAAACTAATCAAGAAATACAATTGCACCAGAAAACCTTGTATATTTGATTTTTAATGTTCTTCCGAAAGACTATAACACTGATTATTTATCAGAACAAAAAGTTTTATAATTCTGAATCCAGAACACAACAAAAAAGATTGTTGAAGAAAACATAATGAATCTAAATAGAAACAAATGACTCGATAGTATTAATAAAACTTTGATTTTAAAACCAATAGAATATTTCAAATACTTAAACCGTAATCATAATACAGTCAACTCTGGGTATAATGAACCTTTCTATAATGAACTCGAACTCAAAATTTTGAAATTTCATAATAGTTCGGTATAAAAAATAGTATGGATTTTTAAGAAACCAATTTTATATAACGAGTTTTTTTTTTTCCAAAATCTTTAGTTCGTTATAGAAAGGGTTGACTGTACTTTCTGGTTGTAACAAATATTACGTTTATTGGAGTTTATTTGAAATAAACAAATTGCTTATCGTTATTATTTTGTTAGTCTATAAATTTTTTCGATTGTGTTTTTTGTTCAATTTTTGGTACTTGATATATTTGTCATGTGATGTCTGAAACTTTTTTGGATAGCGATTTTATCTCAGTTATTTTTGATGATGTTCGAATGCCTTCTTTTTGTACGAGCCCTCAGATATGATTCTGATTTTCATTTTATTCTTTTGATTTAATTCATCAAAGTTTACATTCATAACACTACTTTTAATAGTTTTATCAATACAATCAAATTTGCGTCTGTAACCTTCCAGATCTTTATTATCCACCATTTAAATGTTAGGTACGTGTTCTTTGTCAGGTCTATTTCTATTAACATTTTTTTTATTCACCTTTCTAATGATTTTATTTTTTTTTCTTTTGTTATCATTCATTGTTAATTCACTTTTAACATACTTAATAGATATGAATTGGTTTCTTCTGGAAGCACAAACATTGCCCTTTAAGGCCAGACCGAATTATATAGCGATATTTTCTATTTTCTCATGTGATATTACAGTGTATCTCCGAAAGGTTAGAGATTTCTACTTCATATCATATAAAGGTATTTGAGTAGCAAAAGGTAGCAATTTAAACCTAAATAGCATACAGAGCATAACGATCATTTAATGTTTAGTTCTTATCAGACCACCAGATTACCCGGGTGATGTTTTTTTGATGGGTCCAAGCACTAAGTCTGAAGTTTGCAAACAGTCTGGTCCAGTCTGGTAGGTTTTTTTGTGGCTTAGCTCGCATGATGAGCTAAGCCACAAAAAAATTTACTAGACTAAACCAGACTGTTTGCAAACTTCAGAATGAACTTCAAACCAGATAAATATATTCAGACTAGAGGTCAGAACCGTTATCTACTTATTCAGATATCTGTATAGTTAGCACATATCCGGATACCATAAATGGTTTACAGTAATAATCTTTATCTGTTAGTTTTAAAAAGGATAATCTGGCAGATATCTGTGGGTATCCATAAGTATCTGTCAATATTTGTAGCATTTGCGAGTAATTGCAGATATCTGAATATAAATTAAAGCAGTATATTGGACTATGATATTTGATGGATGCGATCTAGACATCTATTAAAATTTTAAATAGAAAAACAAATAATGGAAGCAATGGTAGGAATAAAAAGTAAATTTCTGGCTATTCCCATAGTAAGGAATAACTAAAATTTACTTTTTATTTCCACTATTGCATATATGTGTATGTCTAAAAGATAAAATTAATAAAAGTTGAGGATAAAGCAAACAATTATTTGATAAGTGAAAAGTACCTACGAAATTTACCCTGAAAACATCTATTCATTCCATCTTTCTACCTGCAAAAGCGTCCAAATATCTATTAGCCTGTCTATCTACCCATTATCACCCAACTACGGTAACTACTTACCTGTTGGTAAGAACACAAAGAGAACCATAAATAAATCAAAGAATAAACAAAAAAACAATAAATAAATAAATAAATAAAATAAAGAAAGTGAACTATTAGAAATAAATTAAAATTTAACAAAAAAAGATTAAAAATAAAAAAACATTAAAAAAATTAAAAAAATTAAAAAAATAAATAAAAAAAGATTTTAAAAAAAAACGTTAAAAAATTTTAAAAAAAATAAAAAAAAATAGAGAATTGAAATTAGGGTATAGCGAAAATATACTAGGTGCTAGTATGTGCTCTAATAGTATCAAATGTGACATAGACACTATGTTTTAATAATGCATATACCAGCTCTTGCAGAGCTTTAGCAGTTAGTACGTATGTATATATGTATGTACTGTACTTATCAGGTATGTACTGTACGTATATACTATACAAAACCTGTTTAAATTTTAATACACAACAAATATTAATGCAAAACATGCTCACGATTACCCATAGTATCCTTAGGATATCCAGTTATTTAAGGGTAGGGTATTTGTTTACATGTTTTTTTCATGCAATGTGCAAATAAATATGCATATACAACCAAATATACAATTATAATTGGTTAATTTTGCAGATCATTAAATTTTGATTGGTTTATTTTCATACCATGCGCAAACAAATAGTAAACAAATACCTTACCCTTAATAGGTTTCAGGTTATCTGCGAGGTTATTTAGAAATCTGTAAGATTATCCAGTTATCTGTTCAATTATCTGATTATCCATAAATTAAAAACTAGTAATTATCCAGATATTAATTTTATAAAAAGGATACAACCGTACAGATAAAAAAATATCTAGTTTTAAGCTCTAATTCAGACTCGAACTAGTCTGCAAACTTCGAACCAGACCCAGACCGGACTCATAATTAAGTTTGAGTCTGGTCTGAAGTTTGAAACTTATAAAATTTAGAGTCTAAGTCTGGTTCGATCTTGGACCAGACCCGGACCAGACCGAACTCGGACCAGACCTAAGAGCACTAGACTGGGTCTTTCTCTTTTTGTTTTGCTTTGTAAAAAACCTCATGTTCTCTTTCTATAAATACAAGTTCTGTGTACTCTAGTTCTCCTATATTATAATAACATAATTTTTCATAAAACTCTACTATTTGTTCTTCAGCTATTTTCTTTGGAATAAGTTCTTGTCCAATATATTCTGCTATTATTTCTTCTACTTGTGTATTTATTATTTTGTCAGTTATTGCTATTGTTATGTTCTGGATATCTGCTATTACTTTTTTTATACCTTCTGGTATGTTAGAATTAATATAACCTCATCTATATATTTCTATATCTTCTTGTAATTCTTTTAATTTTATCTTTACTACTTCTGCTATGACAAGTCTTTTTCTAGAGCATTCTGTTGATTTTTGCTTCACATGACTTGTTGTTTTCTGACTATTATTGTTTGTATTATTGCTTGTTGTGGTTGTTTACCATTTTTGTTTACTTTCATTACATGGTTTTTGTCACATTTTCTTTGTTAATTTTTCATTGTATATTGTGATTTTTGTATTATCAAAACAGATCTGTAATCTAGAATCAAAGCTGATTTTTTAAAAGTTCACTAAGTACAAAAAAATATCGATGATTTTTTATGACTTTTTCTATTTCTTTGCCGCTTTTGCTTTTTTTACTCAAATTTCTATTTCTTGTTTTTCTTTTTTTCTTTACTTAGGGCTTCGAGATTAGTTTTCTAGTAACTCTTATATGTTTTAATGGTTTTTTGTTAATTTTTGTTTTCAAGATTTTGTATTTTGATGATTAGCAGAAAGAGTTGTTATGTTTTTAAAACAATTATATTTGTAAAAAGATATTAAAAGTTATAAAAGAAACTTCTTTTATAGCCATATCTTAATTTAGTAATATATATTATTATAATAAAAGTAATTGTCTATTAATTACAAAAATTACTATACTAAAAGAAAAAGACCAGAGTAAATAAAGCAATTTAAATCTAAATAGAAAATCTTATCAATATATGCTATTAATAAAATATATTTAACTA